CAAATGAGAGTTTTAAAAAGGAGACATACATTTAAAAGTGAACATTTAGCTATTTGAAAAAAATAATATACAATTCCCTAACAACATACGATGTTTTCATATGCTATCCTTATATGTTCTTTGGTAACGTATCTAATCAGATATTTTACCATTTTATTTTTATTTATTACTTATTTATTTATTTTTTGAGAGGGATTCTCGCTCTGTTACCCAGGCTGGAGTGCAGTGGCGCAATCTCGGCTCACTGAAACCTCCGCCTCCTGGGTTCAAGTGATTCTCCTGCCTCAGCCTCCTGAGTAGCTGGGATTACAGGCGTGTGACACTACGCTCAGATAATTTTTGTGTTTTAGTAGAGATGGGGTTTCACCGTGTTGGCCAGGCTGGTCTCAAACTCCTGACCTCAGGTGATCTGCTCACCTCAGCCTCCCAAAGTGCTGGGATTACAAGCATAAGCCACTGTGCCCCGCCCATTTTATTTTTATTTTTATTCTTATTTAGTTATTTATTTATTTTTGAGACACAGTCTTGCTCTGTTACCCAGGCTAGAGTGCAGTGGCAAGATCTCGGCTCACTGCAACCTCCCCATCCTGAGTTCAAAAGATTCTCGTGACTTAGCCTCCTGAGTAGCTGGAATTACAGGTGCGCACCACCATGCCTGGCTAATTTTTGTATTTTTAGTGGAGATGGGGTTTCACCGTGGTGGCCAGGCTGGTCTCAAACTCCTAACCTCAAGTGATCCACCCGCCTCGGCCTCCCAAGGTGCTGGGATTATAGGCATGAGCCACTGCGCCCAGTCATATTTTGCCATTTTATAACTGGGTTTTTCATTTCTCATTGTTGAGTTTTAAGATTATTATTATTATTATTATTATTATTATTTTGAGATGGAGTTTCACTCTTATTGCCCAGGCTGGAGTGCAATGGCGCAATCTTGGCCCACTGCAACCTCTACCTGCTGGGTTCAAGTGATTCTCCTGCCTCAGTCTCTCAAGTAGCTGGGATTACAGGTGCCCACCACCATGTCTGGCTAATTTTTTGTATTTTTAGTAGAGATGGGGGTTTCACCGTGTTGGCCAGATTGGTCTTGAACTCCTGACCTCTGGTGATCTGCCTGCTTCAGCTTCCCAAAGTGCTGGGAATACAGGCTTGAGCCACCTCGTCTGGACAGCAGTGCATATTCACAAAACAATTTTTAATACATATTTTGTAGAACTGTCCTTTATCACAGATACATGTTTTGCAAATATCTTCTCCTACTCTGTGGCTTTTTATTTTTTGACAGTGTCTTTCACAGTGCAGACATCTTATTTTTAATATAGTTCAACTTACTACTTTCTTCTTTCACGGATCATGCTTTTACGTTGTATTAAAGAAGCCAACACTCTCCCCCCACAAACCCCCTCCCCCATAAAAACCAGCCTTAGAAACACTCTATTATTGGGTAGCCATAAATATGATTAAATTTAGTTAAAATCAAAGTAGAAGCTACAATAAAAACAATGTCATTAACAATCCTAACATATAAAACTAGTACCAAATCTAAGTGAGAACAATTCCACCTAATGTACCTAATAGCGCTTGTAAATCTCCATGCAGGCAAAGCACAAGGGAAGAGACTAACAAGTTCTTTTTGTTTGTTTGAGATGGAGTTTCACTCTTGTTGCCCAGGCTGAAGTGCAATTGTGCGATCTTGGCTTACCACAACCTCCGCCTCCCAGGTTCAAGTGATCCTCCTGCCTCAGCCTCCCGAATAGCTAGGATTACAGGCATATGCCACCACACCCAGCTAATTTTTATATTTTTAGTAGAGATGGGGTTTCTCCATGTTGGTCAGGCTGGTCTCGATCTCCTGAACTCAGGTGATCTGCCTGCCTCAGCCTCCCAAAGTGCTGGGATTACAGGCATGAGCCACCTCACCCAGCTGGGACTAACAAGTTCTTAAAACAGAAACAGAAAAAAAGCTATTCTAAACCAGAAAAATAATTTCTACACATTAAGTGGCAAAACAACAAACCTTAATTTTTTTATATAATGGAAAAACACAATACTTTGAACTAAACTGTAAACACATGACATGTCATTTTGTCATTTTCAATATTATATTCCAATACTGACCCCGTGAGCTGCTAAAAACAGAGCATCTTTCCCCAAAAGCATCCAAGTACATCTTCATAAAGCTAATTATTAGCAGGGAAAGAAAGGTATTTCATTAATCCCAACATTAAAGTGTAAGAAATGTAAAAGAGAGTTATTGAATTGTTGAGGCTCCAGGTTACAATACCAGTTTCTCAAAGTGCAAGCTTCTAAGTGTGTACCCAGGGCAGTGATCAAAGTGAGTTTCCACAGTCTTTTCCTGTTTTTACTCCAGGTAACAATTGCCTTACGGAAATGAGTTTCCCCACCACCAACTTTTCCAACCCTGAAATATCAATAATATGCACAGTGTCATATGGATGGTTGTCACATTTATCTCCCCAACCAGGCCAAAAAAACATATTTATCTCCTTTTTTAGAAATTAAATTTTCGTAGAAACCAGGTCAAATTTAAGATAAATTCCACTGGAGTTTGATCACTCAAAATTTTGATGCACTTAAGTAAAGTTTCACTGCTGATGACAATATACCATGAGGTGGCACTTTCCTAGCACCTGGTGGATCACTAGGTTAAGAGATTGAGACCATCCTGGCCAACACGGTGAAACCCCATCTCTACTAAAAATACTAAAGTAGCCCAATGTGGTGGCCTGTGCCTGTAGTCCCAGCTACTCCAAAGGCTGAGGCAGGAGACTCGCACGAACCTGGGAGGTGGAGCGAGCCAAGATCTCACCACTGCACACCAGCAGCCTGGGCAACACAGTAAGACCTCATCTCAAAAAAAAAAAAAAAAAAAAAAAAGAAAAAGAAAATGTTATGGTATACAAATAAATAGTTACAGAAGCAAACCCCCTCTCAATGTTGTTGCTGTAGAAACGGGGATGATGATGGTGACGATGCTTTACTTATATAACCTGACTTACTCCTCACACCAATCTCGTATAATGAGTCCTAGTATTATTCCCATCATTTTAGAGATGAAGGAAGTGAGGTTGGAGAGATCAAGTCTGTAACTCACTCAGGATCTTGAACTTCTAAACACTATGCTTCACTGACTCTCCTGAATAAAATCACTCACTCCTTCCTTCCTTCCTTTTCTTTCCTTTCTTCTTTTTCCTTCTTTCTTTCTGTCCTTCTTTCTTTTCTTCCTTTCTTCTTTCTTTCATTCATTCATTCAAGACAGAGTTTCACTCTGTCACCCAGGCTGGAGTCCAGTGGTGAGACCTTAGCTCACTGCAACCTCTACCTCCCAGGTTCAAGTGATTTTCCTGCCTTAGTCTCCCAAGTAGTTAGGATTACAAGCATGAGCCACCATGCCCGGTCTAACACTGGGATTTTAAATCAGGTTTTTAACCATGAGGACTTGGAACACCCACGTTTCTTCAAATAATGAAATCCAAATATGTTGTCAGAGGAAACCAAATCTTTCCTTAATATCAGATATTATTTTACAGAAGAGGAAACTGAGGCCCAGGAGCTTAAATAATTTCCTCAAAGGCAAATAATGGCTAATAATGGACAGAGCTGGTACTCAGATTTGCACAACTAAAAAGGCATTGGTCTTTTTACCTTACCCTGTTAACTTCCAGAACATAGAAACCATACTTTAAGCAATACACAGGTTAGGTAATACATGAAACACAGTATGCTATATTATTGCAGGTACAATATAAATATACAGGCTGGGCGTGTTGGCTCACACCTGTAATTCCAGCACTCTGGGAGGTCAAAGCAGGTGGATTACTTAAGGTCAGGAGTTTGAGACCAGGCTGGCCAACACTGCAAAACTCCATCTCTACTAAAAATACAAAAGTTAGCTGGGTGTGGTGGTGCACACCCGTAATCCCACCTATTCGGGAGGCTGAGGCATGAAAATTGCTTGAACACGGGAGGCGGAGGTTGCAGTGTGCTGAGATCTTGCCACTGCACTCCAGCCCAGGCGACAGAGAGAGACTCTGTCTCAAAAATCAAAAACAAAAACAATATGAATATACAAAATATTAAGAATTTGCTGAAAGAATCTGTAAGTCTCTAATGTTTTCCTATAAAAAGTAACACTTTATATTAATTACATTATTTACATATAAGACTAAATATTTCTGATATTTAAGCTTCCATTCTACCTATTAATCCAACAAAGAAAAGATTAACAAAAATTAAGATGTTACAATGATACCACATTATGAAGGTTAAAATATAGACTACATTTTCAAAGACTTACTTAGGCTTTTCCAACTTCTAGCTAATCTTCTCATAAATTAATTCAAAATACATCTATACATTCAATTAAAATTTTTAACTGACGACAACATGGGTATCATACAAAATAAATAGCATAGTAATACTGTCTTCCTTTTGATTTAGGAAGAGGTAACATCTCCAAAAAATATCCAGTATTAAGTAGATCATATTCTGTTGCCAGTTCAAAGCATCTGTATTTTGCAGGCAAAGATTTTCATAGCGTACTAATGTTTTTGCTTTGAGTGGCTTATACAAATTCCTTGGACCTCATTTATGCAATGGTTTTATGACTGAAGGACTTTAAGAGTTGTAATGTTCTCCAAAATTCAAGTATAATCTCAGACCCCTTATTCAATACTTAGAAGATTCACCAAGTAATATCCTGCTTAGCAATTAGCAAACGAATATCACCTGCAGTTCTCAGTCTTTTATGTCATAGAAATTCTGATGCATTTTACTTCTTTATTTTCCTTATCGAATATCTAAAAATAAGTGAAATTCTAACATCTTTTTTAAAAAATCTTGTCAGATTCCTTTTAGGACACCATAAAGATATCTAACAAAGTGTTTTGAAATTTACCTGAGTATCTACACTCTAAAAGTGAATACCTGGCAGAAATAATCTCAATCAATAAATTTTATAACCTCGTGAAATTAACACTTACCTGCCTCATTGTTAATTGGGAACTCCCACAGTTTCCCCTCTTTTGTCCACTGGATCAGCTCTTCAAATCCATTCTGAAGGGGTTGTTCATTTACTGTGGCTAACTTCTTAGCAAATTCCACATCCCAAAGTGAAGGTGATGTGTCTGCATAATAAAGACATTTTAATTAAGAATAAGTCAATGTAAATATATTTTTTTAAAAAGTTATAACCAATCCTGAATTGATTATATATTTTTCAGACTTTGACACTCACAATTAAATAGTATATAATAAAAAGTTACTGAGAGATAACTGCAAAAATTACATTAAAAATGATAACTACAATAATGGCAAGCTCAACTTTTGTTTTACAATGCCAGGTACTCACTGCCCCCTCTACTGGAAAGAAAAAAATAAATTTGTATTTTGTTTAAGAGTATTTTTATGAATGTGAATGTTTTTTGCACAACATGTGACTCTGATTTTTAAAGTCTAGCCTGTTTATCTTATAGTCTATCAAAATTAGTCAATAATGTTACTACTGTTAACAACCAAAGAAATTAACGGAAAAAAGATAAAACTGCTAATGAATACTGAGCACTTCCTGTATGCTTAAATGCTTTTTATGCATTAGTGTATGTAATCCTCACAATCAACCCTGTGAGTAAGGTATTATCATATTGGCTAATTACCACCATCATGTTACATGTTTCAATAACTTATTTACTTTTTTTTTTTTTTTGAGACGGAGTTTCGCTCTTGTTACCCAGGCTGGAGCGCAATGGCGCGATCTCGGCTCACCGCAACCTCCGCCTCCTGGGTTCAGGCAATTCTCCTGCCTCAGCCTCCTGAGTAGCTGGGATTACAGGCGCGCACCACCATGCCCAGCCAATTTTTTGTATTTTTAGTAGAGACGGGGTTTCACCTTGTTGACCAGGATGGTCTCGATCTCTTGACCTCGTGATCCACCCGCCTCGGCCTCCCAAAGTGCTGGGATTACAGGCGTGATAACTTATTTACTTTTGAAACTTCAGATCATCTTTTGAGAATGAGCCATATTCCCACCAGTTACTGCTGCTGGGAACGTAAAACGGTACAACCACCTTGGAAAACAGTTTGACGGCTCCTTAAAAATATATCTATTATTCAACATAGCCAATTCATTCCTGGATATTTACCCAAGAGATAATACATATCTACAGAAAGACTTGTACACAAAAGTTAATGGCAGCTTTCTTTATAACAGCCAAATGTGGGTTATAATTTGGGAAACAACCCAAATGTCCACTAACAGGTGAAAAGGTACAAAAATGTGATGCCTCCGTACAATTGTATACTATTTGGTAATAAAAATGCATTATTAGTATTGTAACAGCATAGATGAATCTCAAATCATTATGCTGAGTGAAAGAAGCCAGATACAAATGAGGACATACTGTGTGATTCCAATTATGTACAATTCTAAAATATGCAAACTAATCTATTGTAACAGAAAGCAGATCAATGGTTGCCTACGAACTGTGTGTGTGTGTGTGTGTGTATGTGTGTGTACTGCAAAAGGACACAAGGAAACTTTGGAGGGTCATGAAAATGTTCAGAATTATAACTGGCAGTTTCATGGGTGTATATATTTGTCATAACTAGTCAAGCTATATACTTTAAATATGTGCAGTTTGTTGCACACAAATTATACCTTAATAAAATTGTAAAAAGAAAATGAATATCAATGTCTATCCCTTGGCTACCTTTTTCTCTATATTCTTATTCTTTAGTTATTTTTACCAACATTTTTGATCTTTCTTTTTTTCTGTGTGATCTCACTTTTTAAAATAAATGAGAATCACATAGTTTGGTAATCTACTTTTTCCACTGAATGACTCCATCAGTATTCCATTTTATCTCTTTTAAATATTATAGTGACAAATATCCTTGTAGTTACACTTTTGTGCATATCTGTAATATTTCCTTAGAACAAATTGCTAGGAACACAATTTCTGGGTTAGAGGCATAGACTGCATATGATCTATCCTCCAGCTTACCTCTTTACCCACTTTTGCCAAGCCCACTAAAGCATATCAACAAATAGCTCATTTACTCTTCTACCTGGGTAAGCCTTATTTTATCTATTTTGCTTTTTCTGAATCTGTCTCTATGAGCCTTTATGTGCGGAAATGTGTCTAACCACAAACTGACTGCTATATATTAAGTGTTCTGACACAGATGATCTGATACTGAACAATAATCAGTTGTTAGGCTTAGCTAGCCACATTTACAGAGCAATCAAGCCAGTAAAATAACTTGTCTTGGTTATCTTTCACATGGTGGTGACTGAACAACCTATATCTTTTCCATCATCATTAGGATCATCACTATATTTTTATACTTGCTAATGGTTGCAAGCAGTTATTAAATATGAATTATGTTACAGGCACTGTGCCTGGCACTATTCTCAGATGACCTCATTTAATCCTTGAAATGTATGTACTAGCCCTCATTTTATAGATGGGGAAAGGTTAATGTGGCAGAATCTGAATTTGAATCCAATTTTACACACCAGCACTCTTTCTGTGAATACTGCCTGTCAATTGTAGGATAACCAGTAGGGCCTATGACTCTATCCTTTGTAGCTGGTGGTAAGAACTTAGTGGGGAACAAGATGCGGGAATCCTGGAACAGAATAACTCTTTCAATCGGTCAATAAAAAATTACTAAATGCCAACTATATTTCCAGCATTATTTGAGGCGGTGGGAAAACAATAGTGAACAATTGCTAAACTTACATTTCTACATATTGCTATTCCTGTATTTAATTGGGAACAAAAACCATTCTTTAGACTCATGCAAGCATAGCATATTCAAACAGTGTCTTCATTAGAGTAAATTATTACATAAATTTGTGTGCTATTTTCCTCACCAGAGTATAATCATTTGATATTGTTTGATAAAATACAGAAAACTTCAATGCTTCCTTGCCAACTAACTTCAGTTCTAGAAATAAGATTTTTTTTTTATTTTAAAAAGTAAGCTGGCTACTTCAAGAATCTCAAGAATATTCAAGTGCAGCTGTCCTGACAGCAAATTTCTTTCTTCCTTTTTTTTTTTTTCCTTCACCTGGGTGCAGGTGGACTAAGGCAGAAAAGGGCATTAGGCCACTTTTTCTTTTTTTAAAGATGGAGTTTTGCTCATCACCCATGCTGGAGTGTAATGGCGCAATCTTGGTTCACTGCAACCTCCGCCTCCCTCTTGTGTTCAAATGATTCTCCTGCCTCAGCCTCTGGAGTACCTGGGATTACAGGCACCTGCCACCATGCCCAGTTAATTTTTTTATTTTTATAGAGACAGGGTTTTACCATGCTGGCCAGGCTGGTCTCGAATTCCTGACCTCAGGTGATCCACCCATCTTGGCCTCCCAAAGTGTTGGGATTACAGGCATGAGCCACTGCACCCAGCCAACAAATTCCTTTGTGATCTATGCTTACCAATTTGAGCAGGGGAGAGGCAATTCATTGCCCCTGTGGATTTTGCACTTCCTTTTTACCGTACACAAGAGAATGAAGTTTTTGCAATACAAGAATGGGGGTTGTGCTCGCTTCGGCAGCACATATACTAAAACTGGGACGGTACAGAGAAGATTAGCATGGCCCCTGCGCAAGGAGGACACGCAAATTCGTGAAGCGTTCCATATTAAAAAATTATAAAAAAGAAGGGAGGTTGTTCTTTTAGCTTCACCTTCAGTTCAAATGAACAAACACTGAATTAACATCTTTCCTCTACAAATGTATATTTTATAGTATAGTTTGTTCAAAAAATAATTTAAGATTTAAGATAACTAGTTCCTATGATCTGTAAGTCACATGAATAGGTGCTACATGAATGAGATATAATCCCTAATTGTCTATTAAATAGGGGGAAAATAAAAAGTTCCTACAAGTAACTGGTAGAAAGACTAAATGAGCCCTTGGAGGCTGGCCTTGTCTATCATATACAACATTTTTTTTCCCTTTGACATGGAGTTTCACTCTGTTGCCTAGGATGGAGTGTTATATCACAATCATAGCTCACTGCAGCCTTGAATTCTGCGCTCCAGTGATCCTGCCATCTCAACCTCCCAGGTCACTAGGATGACAGGCATGCACCACCATGTCTGGATAATTTTTTTCTATTTTTTAGAGAAAGGGGCTCACTATGTTGCCCAGGCTGATCTTGGAACTCCTAGTCACAAGCCATCCTGTTGTCTCAGCCTCCAAAGTCCATATACGACATTATTTCTATCAAGATCCAAAAAATGAACTTCTACTCTTTAGAAATGCTTGTCTTTTATATGCTGAAGACATTCTGTATTGAGTTTCTTCATTTATTTTACTAGTAAACCAAATTTAATGTTAAGCAAGAGGACACTTTTATTTCTCTTTTAGATTTAAAATGGCAAATTTCTTACCCAAAGAAAACACTACAAGTCTCTTAAATAGATTTCTTGAATATTCTTTCCATCTCCTGAACAATCACGGGGTCACTTCAGTAAGTTATTTTATAAATTCTATCTCCACTTCTCGGCAGTGAGCTGCCTAAGGGCAGGAACCAGTACCTCTTTATGTAATAGCACAGAGATACACTGTAAATGAGTTGATTATTAATGTTCTCACTCAAATCAGTAGCTCATCTGGCCCTCTGGATTTGGTAACTGGTAGTACTTACCTCCCACTGTCTCACCGAATGCAACATTTCAAGGGGAAAACCTGACCAAAACTAGCAATGTTGACAAGTGTAGTATGATGTGTCCCCCGTCAGGTTACTTAAGAGTGTGTGTGTGTTGCTTTGACCCTGAAGGCTGGGCAGGGAGCCAAGGCCATAGTGCCTACCTGAGGAGCAGGTGTCCCTGAGAACCCAAACATCCCAGGGCATACCTGGGAACATATCAAAGAAAACACTGTCATCACGCATGCAGAGTTGACACAGTCAGAGCACTAGCTTCAAGGCGGCTTAGAGATGGGAGGCAGGGAGACTCTAGAGCTGCCCAGGAAAGTCCAGTATGTAAGTTCTAGTAAACTCATCTATTCGCCAAGCTGGACTTGCCCACATTATTCTATCATACATAAGAGAATGCAGTTTTTGCAATACAAGAAGTGGGGTTGTTCTTTTAGCTTCACTTTCAGCAAAGGTCTCTCGATGCCTTCCCAGTTTGGGGGGACATGACAGTCCCAAGTCTTCCTTATAACAACTGCCACATTTGTGAGTAGGATCCAGGCCAGTGACAGGATGGAATATTAAAATATCCAACTATTACACCATCAGAACACTAAGGACATCTTGAAAGATGAAATGTTTCTCCACCTGAGAAACAGCGTCATTCTTAACAAACCTGTTTCAGAGTCTTCTTTAGCAGTTGCCGTCATGTCAAAAATATAAAGTCTTTTCCCCTTGAATAAACTTTTCGTAATTCTAAAAAAAGAAAATAACATTTTAATGAATATATTTTAAACTGAATATCTTAAGTGAAATAGTCTATGTAGAAATGAAAAATAATTCCACTGACCCACATCAAACTTCTTAGCTAAACTGCCACATTTTTAGGACCCATAAACTAAAAACAGAAATGTGCACTTAAGTTTTGCTTCATAATACAACAAATCAGTTAAAGCAATTTCATTGCCAAAATACCTAATTGAAAAGATTAGCTCAATTTGCCAAAATTTTAATTTTTTCCCTTTTATATTAAGGTTTTAAAAACTCCATGTTGTGAAAAACTATAAAACTATGCTAAAATAGACAGAAGCTCTAAAGCCAACGTTTATCTGTAAGGGCAGAAGACACGGCAATCTTTAATTAGAAATTATAAAAGACTGCACAGGTAAATCCCAACATTCCCCTTCATAAAGCAATTATGCTGTAATTTTAAAATAATTATTAACTATCTTTACATGACTATTTAAAATTAACTACTGAAATTAATATCAGGGAGTTAACAGGTAATGTTTTCTTATATACTTGATAATCAATTGTTTTATGCATCAATTCACATGTTTACTTGAATAAATTTACTGGCAGATTAAAATCAAGTTTATAAACTGGAGGGCTGGCCAGGTAAGGTGGCCTGTGCCTGTAATCCCAGAATTTTGGGAGGCCAAGGCAGGTAAACCACCTTAGGGCAGGAGTTCGAGACCAGCCTGGCCAAAGTGGAGAAACCCCATCTCTACTAAAAATGCAAAAAAAATTAGCTGGGTGTGATGGCCAGTGCCTGTAATCCCAGCTACTGAGGAGACTGAGAAGGGGGAAATCCCTTGAACCCAGGAGGCAGAGGTTGCAGTGGGCCAAGATCATGCCACCATACTCCAGACTGGGTGATAAGAGCAAGATTTCATCTCAAAAAATAAAAATAAAAACTAAAAAAATCAAATAAACTGGAGAGTTAGTTTTAAAAATAATTTTGAATTTAAAAAAAAATTAAATTACTTCTACTAAATAGAAGTAACTGGAAAAATGCAAATACCATATGAACGTTAAATAACATGATCTCAAATCATATAATCTTTACTTTAGTAGGTTCCCAAGTTATTTGTAAACAAGGGCTTTTATGCTTCAGAACTCAAGTGCCTTGCATTCTTCCCCTCAACTGCACATCTGGTAAACAGGATAGTGGATTACAGCAAGTCACAGCAGACGGCGAATGCCTTGGTAAAGCATTGAATTTCAAAAGAGGAATGTACTACAAAGGGAATGGACATTTGCTGAGCACCTACTACGTACCAAATAGTTTACATGTTTCTTTTCTATTCCTCAAGAAAGCCATTTAAGCTAGGTTTCACTTTCAGCATTTTATAGCTGGGGAAACAGGCTAATGGAGGCTATAAAAGGTGCCCAGTCACACAATTAGTCAGTGGCAGTGCCAACATTCTGAGGCAGGCCAGGATAACAACAGAAGGAATCAGCCCAGGCCTGGGTTGCCTGGGGTTGATACCCCAGAATCTGCCCCAGTCATAGCAGAGTGAACAACTTGGCATCTCACCATTGCTTCCCCTTACTCCCCTCTAGCTGGCTTTTTAACACAGTGAAGGCACAGAAACCCCTTTCCTACTTTAGCTTCTAATTTTTAAAATATCAAATTATAATATACCATCCTAATGTAGTTGCAGAATCATGTCCAAGATGAATGATTCAGTTAAATATTCTCAAGGATTAATTGATCTAGTTAAATATTCTTAAGTAAAACTCCAGGTACACCTTCTCCTTTATTCAATAATATATAACAGATACTAAATCACTTTAAATTAGTAATTCAAACAATCTTCCAAAGTCACTATAACCTCTTGAAACTTCCTGTGTTAACTGCTAATTACCTTTTCCAACTTTCTGGCATAAATCAGTAGTTTAACACCCCAGAAGGAGTTAACTCAAGTTCCTGATTTTAGTTAAAACAAATCCACAGAATACACAACGCATTGAAAACACTCCAATTGTGCGCATATCCTGCTATAAAGACAGGATAATTTTTGTCAGACCATGCCAAATATCTGGTTCCTCCTTCCCAGCTCTCATTTTCAGGGTTTAAAGGAGAGAAAGAACAGAAACTTTATGCAAATACAGAACAACTTTAGATTCTAAAATAACTACGTAAGGCATGGCTCAGTATCTTTAAGAACTTCAAATCAGTAAATTCAAAGGGCCACAAATAATCTGCCACTTAAAGGTATTGTATAAATTTTTTCCTCTTGCCTCTCCTTTGCGTTGATGGTGGGTTATTTCTCTAAGGTATACAAAAAGACAAGCATGTATTGAGATATAAAGGGCATATGAATACACAGTATTAGACACATATTTAAAATGAAAAATAATATTTCTCACAAAATACTTATTTGCTCAGAATTCAGTCAGCTCCATTATTTTAAATCAAAAGACCCCGATTCATCACGGGTAGATGTGAGCATGGCCCATTTTGATTTAAGGTATGGAAAACTGCAGGACTGGCTAAATCCAGCACGTGGTTCCTTCTCCAGGAAGTGGTATACAGAGAATAAGAACACGTATGTATATGCATTCACAATGCTCAAATATCCAACAGCAATAATATACACAATAAGACAAATCTACAGCTAAGGTAAAAACAAACTACACAAACAAAACCCAGCAGACTACAAAGCCTGATACCTTTTTCTAAAACCAGCAGTCTTCTGGTCAGGATAACTGTCATGGCCTTCATCAAACCGAATCTGATGCTCTGGTCTTAAATGAACTCTAGCTGTAGCAGATCTGGCAACTTTCATATCTGATATTATGTTACTGAAACTGGAAAAATAAAAAGGTCAACTGTATTAGAAATCTTTGCTACAGAACAGTCAAGCTTACTTAAACAGGAGACTGATATCATTTAATCCTTATTTCATTTTTATGCACTAATTATACAGCATAAAAAAATTTTTTTTTTTTTGAGACGTAGTCTTGCACTGTTGCCCGGGTTGGAGTGCAGTGGTGCAATCTCAGCTCACTACAACCTTCGCATCCCAGGCTCAAGCGATTCTCATGCCTCAGCCTCCCGAGTAGCTGGAATTACAGGTGCCTGCCACCACGCCCAGCTAATTTTTTGTATTCTTAGTAGAGACGGAGTTTCACTATGTTGGCCAGGCTGGTCTCAAACTCCTGATCTCGTGAATTGCCTGCCTCAGTCTCCCAAAGTGCTGGGATTACAGGCGTGAGCCACCATATCCAGCCAAAAAATGTTTAAATAAAAAAGTCACCTATTAACATTCACATAACACAGAACATTACAATTTATGTTTACTTTAATCATTTAAAGGTGCTCTTTAGAAATCGTCATTTAAAACATAAAACATTTCTCATGAAAAACTATTCAGAGAAAATGATAGGAAAGTAAAATCAGTATCTGTATACCTATTGCCTACATTCGATAACTAAATTAAAACCAAGTTAGCCATGTTTGTATTTGTTCAAAGAAAAATAAAATGAGTCACTGACTGAATTGACAGTCCAGGTATCTGTCTTCCTTTTTTTTTTTTAAAAAAAAACTTAACAATTTCTTTTTTTTTTTTTTTTTTTTTGAGACAGAGTTTCGCTTTTTTGTTACCCAGGCTGGAGTGCAATGGCGCGATCTCGGCTCACCGCAACCTCTGCCTCCTGGGTTCAGGCAATTCTCCTGCCTCAGCCTCCCAAGTAACTGGGATTACAGGCACGCATCACCACGCCCAGCTAATTTTTTGTATCTTTAGTAGAGACAGGGTTTCACCATTTTGACCAGGATGGTCTCGATCTCTTGACCTCGTGATCCACCCACCTTGGCCTCCCAAAGTTCTGGGATTACAGGCTTGAGCCACCGCACCTGGCCAACAATTTCTTTTAGAGATAGGGTCTCACTCTTATTGCCCAGCCTGGAGGGCAGTGGTGAGATTACAGCTCAATGCAGCTTCAAAGCCTGGACTTAAGTGATCCTCCCGCCTCAGCCTCCAAAGTTGCTAGAACTACAGGGACATGCCACCATGCTCGGTTAATTTTTTTATGTTTTGTGGAGATGGAGTCTTGCTTTGTTGCTCAGGCTGGTCTCAAATTCCTGGCCTCAAGTGATCTTCTTGCCTCAGACTCCCAAAGTGCTGGGATCATGGGCATGAGCCAGTGCACATGGCCATTTCTTTTAACTTCTTGAAACAAAGCTGGTACACACACTCTTTGAGAACAACTGATTTCGATCACTCTCCAAAATGAAGCAGGGTTACCACTTACTATAATGTAGGCAGCAAGTAGTACAACATGACATAAAATAATGAGAGATGAAGAGAACAAGTGGGAAGACATCAGCTGAAATGTAAAAATAAGAGGAAAAAGAGAAGGAAACAGACCTGAAGATTATCATACTGTGCATAAAACCAGCAAATTGTTTAACTGAAAAAATTACTTTTCTCAGAGAAGCTACCTTGTTCTGTTACTGATTTTTAATAACATTACTGAATTTACCATTTCTTTTTTCATGGACAAGAAACTGTAACTTCCTAAAAGGAAACTTTATTCAATTGGTTTCTTGAAAACTATAATCATACTTAAGACATATGTTTTTAAAAAACTGAATTGCTAAAATTATGCAGTATATTTTATATACGAATTCTCCTGATGTGGTATATATTATGTGCATTACTCACCAGCCACATGAAAATGGCCCATTTTGAGATATAAACATTACTGACCTAATGGTTTGATTCACGCACCTAATTTTAGGTCTCTCTGCATCGCTCTGCGCCCTTGACTCTTCCTCATGCTGCTGGAGCTGTCTCAGAAGCTCTGACTTGGTTTTTTGCTTATCAAAAGGGAGAGAATCTGCCACAGCAGACGCAGCTGCCACCAACTCCGGACTCAGGGGCTCAATTCTGAAAAAGAAAATGAAAAACAAATGAGAAATAAAAAAGAGAGATTGACCAGGCGTGATGGCTTACTCCTGTAATCCCAGCATTTGGGAAGCCAAGGCAGGCAGATCACTTGAGGTCAGGAGTTCAAGACCAGCCTGGCCAAAACAGTGAAACCCCATCTCTACTAAAAATACAAAAATTAGCCGGGCATGGAACTGCATGCCTATAGTGCCAGTTACTTAGCGGCTGAGTCAAGAGAACTACTTGAAACGGGAGGTGGAGGTTGCAGTGAACCGAGATCATGCCACTGCACTGTAGCCTGAGAGACAGAGTGAGACTCTCACTGCACTGTAGCCTGGGAGACAGAGTGAGACTCCATCTCAAAAAAAAAAGAAAAAAGAAAAGAAAAAAGAGAGATTGCTTATTGCGCCCTTAGTTTAGTGAAAGGTAAAATGATTTTGGGGGGACAAGTGTGGTGTTCGAAAAAGTATTTAATTCAATTTCTGACAAAAACAAGAATTTTCAACTATTAGGTAGCAGTTTTATATAAACTTTGAATGTTAAATGTTAAAATCAATGATATTTGCTGAAGCACAACATGAACTCCGAACAATATATTAAGGTGGAGGGCTGAGGGAAAGATCAGCCTCAAAAATTATAAATTAGTGGCATTTTAAATGAGATGCTATTGTATTTCAAAACCAATATATACCGTAAGCAAATAGAAAGGCAGGTTAACCAGTCCACAGAGGCTTTACCAGAACCAACCTAAAGATCTCTCAATAGAACAGAAAAACAAATTGTGATACATCCATACAATGGAAGAATACTCAGCTCATGTCAACATGAATGACTTTCACAGGCATTAGATCAAGTGAAAGAAGTTGGACACAAAGAATATAATGTCCAAAAATTAGCCAGGCATGGTGGCACGTGCTTATAATCCCAGCTACTCGAGACTGAGACAGCAGAATCACAGGAACCTGGGAGGTGGAGGTTGCACTGAGCTGAGATTGCGCCACTGCACTCCAGCCTGGGCAACTGAGCTAGACTCTGTCTTTAAAAAAAAATTCTGTATGACTCTATTTATATCAAGTTCCAGAATAGGCAACACTAATCTGAGGAGAAAAAAACCCTCAAAACAGCATTTGTCTCAGGACAGATGGCCACTGACTGGGAAGGTGACAATGAAAAACACAATGTCTTGGTAAGTGTGTGGGTCACAGGGATTTATCTGTTTGTCAAAATCCTATACCTAAGATTTGGTACACTTTAATATATGTAAATTTTAACCTTAAAAAAAGCCATAAATCATTATCAAGTAGGAGATGGAAAAAGAGTGAAGGCCTAGGTAATACAAGAAAGGCAAAACGTTGATCACTGTCGAAACTGGGCTACAGTATAAAGGGGTTAGACCACTTTGTGTACTTTGCATATGTTTTAAACTTTTCATAAGAAAAAGCTTTTAAAAGCTTCCTAAATTAGAGAAAGTTAATAGAAGAACATTCTATTATAAAAAGAAAATAAATTATTTACAACTTTTTTTCCTTTTTTTTTTAAAGATGGGGGTCTCAATATGTCAAGTCTGGCCTCAAAGTCTTGGGTTCAAGCAGTCTGCCCACTTCATCCTCTTGAGTAGCTGTGACTACAAGCGTCTGCCACCATGCCTGGCTATTTGCAATTTTTTAATTCACTGAGAACTGACATCTCAATGAATGGGATCTAAATTAACGTTTTATTATGCCTGGCTTTCCATATTATGATCTGTTACCTAATATGCAAATTAAAGTTCCCAAATTCCTGAAGTTCTTGGAGAAAGATTTTAAGGACTTAAGTAAGGCTTGGAAGATCTAAAATCTGATAGGAACAGAAGAAAAATAGAAGAATGAGACAAGGAGTCGGGCATGGTGGCTCATGCCTATAATTCGAGTCTTTTGGGAGGCTGCGGCGGGGGGATCACTTGAGCCCAGGAGTTTGAGACCAGCCTGGAATAGGAAAAAAAAAAAAAAAAAATTAGCCAGGCATGGTGGCACTTGCCTATAGTCCCAGCTACCAGTGAGGCTGAGTAGGAGGATTGCTTGAGCACAGGAGGCTGAGGCTGCAGTGAGCCATGATTTTTCCACTGCACTTCAGCCTGAGCCACAGAGTGAGAGCTGGTCTACAAATAAATTAATTAATTAATAAGAAAAAGAAATAAGGAAACATAACAGTTAAAACGTGCTTTCAAAACTGTTTTTTTTTATTGTATTTTAAGTGTTGGGGTACATGTGCAGGACATGCAAGATAGTTGCATGGGTACACACTTGGCAGTGTGATTTGCTGTCTTCCTTCCCTTCACCCACATTTGGCATTTCTCCCCATGCTATCCCTCCCCAGCTCCCCCCACCACGCTGTCCCTCCCCTATTCCCCCCAATAGACCCCAGTGTGTAGTGCTCCCCTCCCTGTGTCCATGTGTTCTCATTGTTCAACACCCACCTATGAGTGAGAACATGTGGTATTTCATTTTCTGTTCTTGTGTCAGTTTGCTGAGAATGATGTTCTCCAGATTCATCCATGTCCCTACAAAGGGAACGAACTCATCGTTTTTGATTGCTGCATAATATTCCATGGTGTATGTGTGCCACATTTTCCCTGACCAGTCTATCATCGATGGGCATTTGGGTTGGTTCCAGGTCTTTGCTATTGTAAACAGTGCTGCAATGAACATTCATGTACATGTGTCCTTATAGTAGAACGATTTATAGTCCTTTGGATATATACCCAGTAATGGGATTGCTGGGTCAAATGGAATTTCTATTTCTAGGTCCTTGAGGAATCACCACACTGTCTTCCACAATGGTTGAACTAATTTACACTCCCACCAGCAGTGTAAAAGTGTTCCTATTTCTCCACATCCTCTCCAGCATCTGTTGTCTCCAGATTTTTTAATGATCGCCATTCTAACTGGCATGAGATGGTATCTCAATGTAGTTTTGATTTGCATTTCTCTAATGACCAGTGATGATGAGCATTTTTTCATATGTTTGTTGGCCTCATGTATGTCTTCTTTTGTAAAGTGTCTGTTCATATCCTTTGCCCATTTCTGAATGGGCTTGTTTTTTTCTTGTGAATCTGTTTGAGTTCTTTGTAAATTCTGGATATTAGCCATTTGTCAGATGGGTAAACTGCAAGAATTTTTTCCCATTCTGTTGGTTGCCGATTCACTCTAATGACTGTTTCTTTTGCCATTCAGAAGCTATGGAGTTTGATTAGGTCCCATTTGTCTATTTTGGCTTTTGTTGCCAATGCTTTTGGTGTTTTGGTCATGAAGTCCTTGTCTACTCCTATGGGAATTTTGATTTCTTTTTTTTTTTAAGATGGGGTTTCTCTATGATGGCCAGGCTGGTCTTGAACTCCTAACCTGAGGTGCTCCACCCACCTCGGCCTCCCAAAGTGCTAGGATTACAGGCGTGAACCACCACGCCCAGCCTCAAAACTGTTATCTGTGAATAAAGCTTTAGCCTTATTCCAAAGTCATTATATTTCTTTCATAAACTACTTGTAAACTTCATTTTCAAATTTTAATATATGTATTTGATCAGAGTGTACACAGAACATAGATGAATATTGATTTTCCAGAATCATACATTTTGTAACAATAGTTTCCTATTAGTCATACTCTCTGGCTTTATAATTTGAAATGTTCTAATTAATAAAAATTGTGGGGGAGCCTCTGTCATGGAATAATTTTTACATATAGGGATCTTCATAGATTTTAATAACGTAAGGAGAACTTGTTAAAGTATCTTTCAACAATCTATTCTATCCTGTAATTAAGACTATTTCATAACATTCTGTACTTTTAAAATTTCTTTAAAATAAACTGTATGACATACAATTTCAGAAAAGGACTCTGATGAGGGAAAGAAACTACTGAGTGGACACTTAAATTGGCACGGGTTTTAGCAGGCAACTTGGTGACAGATATCAAAGGCCAAAAAAAAAATACAAATCTTTTTACCTAGCAATTCCACTTCTAAGAATATGTGTTTAAAGAAAATAAACCAAAAATGAAAGAAAGAAAATAAACAGCTGGGCATGGTGGCTCATGCCTATAATCCCAGCACTTTGAGAAACCAAGATGGGCAAATTACTTGAGTTCAGGAGTTTGAGACCAGCCTGGACAACACAGTGAAACATTGTCTCCACAAAAAGAAAAAAATAATTAGGATGGGCGCGGTGGCTCAAGCCTGTAATCCCAGCACTCTGGGAGGTCAAGAGATCGAGACCATCCTGGTCAACAAGGTGAAACCCCGTCTCTACTAAAAATACAAAAAATTAGCTGGGCGTGGTGGCGCGTGCCTGTAATCCCAGCTACTCAGGAGGCTGAGGCGGGAGAATTGCCTGAACCCAGGAGGCGGAGGTTGCGGTGAGCCGAGATCGCGCCATTGCACTCCAGCCTGAGCAACAAGATCAAAACTCCATCTCCAAAAAAAAAAAGCACCTCTCCAGCATCCTCATTCATTTTTTTTTTTCCACTCAGGCTGGAGTACCGTGGACACAACCATAGCTTAGTGCAGCCTCAACTTCCTCATCTCAAGCAATCCTCTTGCCTCAGCTTCCTGAGTAGCTGGGACTGCAGGTGCATGCCACGACACCCAGTTATTTTATTTTATTTTTTTTGTAGAGACTGGGTCTCACTATGTTGCCTGGGCTGGTCTTGAACTCCTAGACTAAAGTAATCCTCCTGCCTCAGCCTGGGATTATAGGCTGTGCCTGGCCCAACTCCATCATTCTTATTTTTCTTCATGTTTCACTACCTTACATAGTATAGACTGTGTGTGTGTGTGTGTGTGTTGTACATACATCTCCTTTCCCATATCCCTCGCCCCATTTTAATGTAGGAAGCAGAGACTTTGTTTTCTTCAATGTCCAATCTCTAGCACTTTGGATGGTGTGTGAAATATAATGGCAAGGGAAAGCCGCTGAATGAATTAACAATGTTAATCATAGTATCATTTCATACTAGTGAAATGCTAGAAATAATCTAAATTTCCAGCAGGGATCAATTAAATGAGTAATAGCTGATGCCTTCCAAATGAATGATCAGGTTAAGAGAAAGTTAAAGCAGATGCTAGAAATTTTGGTTACTGCTGCACCACCAGGGATCTTTTTAGGTTCCACTAAACATTCAGACCCGAAGGACCACCACAGATGACACCTGGCCCGGTCCATTCAGGAAGATGAAAGACAGAACCGCAGCAGGCCGGCAGGGCAGCCCTGGGTGTCCTTCTCAGTTCCTGCAGTGTTCACGCAGGTGACACTTCACACGGTCATTCATCTTAGAATTAGGATATGAGATCTGCACCATGAAGGCATGGGAGCCGCCTGGCTTACTGCCTCACAGGAGCTAATATCTCTTGTAACAGGGCCACATGCAGTTTCCAGGGTCCCTGCAAAGGAAATGCAGTAAGAAGAATCACTGCATTTAAGTCCTAAATATGGTATCCCCATAGGGTACCTATAGTTCTCCCAGGCCAGATGCAATTTATCAATTAGGGGTCAAGTTTGTCCTAACAATGTTGCCTGTAATATAGCCGACATTCTACAGTTATCAGGTACCAGATTTATAATCAAAACAAATTACACTTTCAGAAAATAGTGACGGCATTACTTCTGGTTCCATATGCTCTTCCAAAACATTGCCACATATCCATTAAGAGAGAGAATCTATCTTCCCTCCCTGAAAACCAGGGGAAACTTTGTGACTGCCTTGATGAGCAGAAGATAGAGGTAACATACTGTGACTTCTGAGGCTAGACCAAATAATGTGATACAGCTTTCACTCCACTCTCTCAAGACATTTGTCTGCAGAACCGAGCTACCAGGCAAGAAGCCCAGGACACAAGGAAAGGCCATGGGTAAGTGCACTGGCCAAGAGCGCTAGCTAAAGCCTCAGCCAACAGCCAGTATCAACCACTGGAAAAGCGCCCTCAGACAATTCCAGATCCCAGCCGTGAATCTACCTTAACTAAAGATGAGTAGAGAAGACATAAACTCTCCACTTGGGACCTGGTTCCCAAACTGTGCCCTAAGGCACTCTGGGGCACCACAGGAAAATACAACCACATGGTGATTTAAACTAGGCAGTTCACAGTAACAGTACAGCTGTCCCTTCATATCTGCAGGGGTTGGGGAGGCTGGGGCCATGGGACACAGGCATTGTTTCCACCAACAAGCTCTGCGCCCCCCTCAGGATGATGCATAAGCCCCTTATATAAAATGGCAGAGTATATGCACATCCTCCCAAATACTTTTAAATCATCTCTAGATTACTTATAACACCTAATTATGTAAGTAGTTGTTATACTGTATTTTTTTCTTTTTTTTATATTTTCAATCAGAGGTTGGTTGAATCTGTGGATGCAGAACCTGGGCATACAGAGGGCCAACTGTATACTGCTCCATTCCTGTCAAGGACATTGTATCTTTGTTAAGATGGTTTCTCAGGAGTGGTTGTGATCAGAACAAATATCCCCGGAAAATCAGTGTGGAACTGGGATGAACACGGGAATGTCCAATCTTATTACAAGGCTAGGTCACTAAAAAGAAAATACAGCTTTCTCTGGGCTCACTTTCTCTTGAGACACCCGCCCTGGAACCCAGCTACCATGCAGTGAGAAAGCCCAGGCCACAAAGAAAGTCACATGTAGCTGTTTCTGCTAACACCCTCAGCTAAGGTCTCAGCTGACAGCTGGCATCAACTGCCAGATCCATGAGTGAGCAAACTTCAGACGATTCCAGCTTCAGACTTCTAAGTCTTCCAACCGAGGCCCCAGACATCATAGAGCACAGGCTGGCCTTCCCCACTGTGTTCTAGCCAAATTGCTAGCCACAGAATCTGTGAGCAAAATGGGCCAATGTTTTATGCCACTAAGTTTGGGAGGCATGGTAACCGTATTAATGAAGGTTCAATATATAATACAAAATAAGAAAAGCAGACTGTGTATGAAGCAATGATGATAGTGCCTCACGAAGCCAAGATCATGACTAACCTAATCCTGTGCACCCTGGAGTCCTTAAGAAAGGCATAGCAGAGGCAAAAAGCATTAAAAGACACCTTTTAAAAACTCAAAACAAATGTGACTCATTCACCAGTCTTCTGATGTAGACCAAAGCCCCTTCTTTGAACATAGGTCCACTGACAGAGGTTCTAAGACGTATCTTTTATATACATCACACCCATCCTCCCATACTTTCAATTTTGGTTTAAATGGAAAGTGGAGCAAGAATGTAAGAAAGCTTACAAAGCAATTTAAGTGTGTGATCCTCCCACATATGTATGTTTGCCTCACTCATACCTAATTGGAAAGAAAATTTTAAAATGACCTTTACTGACTGTTTTTTTTTTTTTTTTTTTTTTGAGACAGAGTTTCGCTGTTGTTACCCAGGCTGGAGTGCAATGGCGCGATCTCAGCTCACCACAACCTCTGCCTCCTGGGATCAGACAATTCTCCTGCCTCAACCTCCTGAGTAGCTGGGATTACAGGCACGCGCCACCATGCCCAGTTAATTTTTTGTATTTTTAGTAGAGACAGGGTTTCACCATGTTGACCAGGATGGTCTCGATCTCTTGACCTCATGATCCACCTGCCTCAGCCTCCCAAAGTGCTGGGATTACAGGCGTGGAACTTTACTGACTCTTTCCAAAACATTCAACTCACTTGACCATTTCTGTAACAGTTAATTCAATTATAATAAAGCACATGATGGGTCATAAACAGGACTAGGAGCTTTAAAAATGCCACTCTTGATAAGTATTTATATATGTTTATATTATTTATTTCCATATATTTACATATAACCATTCTGTTTCTAAAAGCAGCAGGAGGATACCTATTAAGGGAACTGACTGTCTGAATTAGCTTACTCTACCACCCAATCATACGTTCTAGAGGTATTTTTGATATAATGCAGAAATCAAGAAGTTGCATTAAAATGTTAAATAATTCTGGCAAACAGAAGACTCTGTTAAAATGTGTTTGTTCTGGTAAGAGAAGTCAGTGATGGGTATCCTAAAGCCACACCCCTCACTACTTGAATTAATAGCGTCATTGGGATACATCGTTACAAAGCACTAAAACAAAATACTGCCATTTAACCTATTGCACAACTCCAGGGTATCACTGATTGCACTTAAGATTAAATATAATACTCCTTTGACAAACACAAATAGTTATAATACTCTGAGGAAACCACCAAGAAAGCTAAAAGCACTGGTAGGTATTGCTCAAAGGAAGTCATGTAAGCAGTTGTAATTAACATGTTAAAACTTTATTCCAGAAATCTTTAAAATGGAAAATTTTAAATAAGCAAGTCCTTTACAGACATTAACTTATCTTCAAATCAAGATGTAAATAATATTAACAGCTTAAAGAGGCAATTAAATGGCAGTTAATAACACTGATAAATATGTACGTGTGAAATTCTCAATGAGATCTCTTTTCCTCTCTGAATTGTGTACAGATATCCTCGTTATTTAAATATAATACACAACTGTATTTCTCAAGTAACTATTATTATTGTTGTTGTTGTTGTTGTTTGAGACAGAGTCTCACTCTGCCCCCAGGCTGGAGTGCAGTGGCACAACCTCAGCTCACTACAACGTCTGCTTCCTGGGTTCAAGTGGTCGTCCTGCCTCAGCCTCCCAAGTAGCTGGAATTACAAACATGCACCACTATGCCCAGCTAATTTTTGTATGTTTAGTAGAGACAGGGTTTCACCATGTTGGCCAGGCTGGTCTCGAACTCCTGACCTCAAGTGATCCACCTGCCTCAGCCTCCCAAAGTGCCAGCATTACAGGTGTGAGCCACCACGCCCAGCCTTGAGTAATTATTAGAGTCCCTGTGTTTACAAGCTGATATTTATTCTTCATGAATTCAGCATTTCCCAAGTGCTCATATTAAAAACACGTTTTACCAAAAGAAAAAGCTTACTGGAGTTTCAAACAACATTCGAATTATAATTAAATTTACCTCTTCTTTGGAGGACGTTCTGTAGCTCTTGTAAGCCTGCCAAGTGTAGCTTCCAAACCTTCAAGTGGTCTTCTGTTGGGGGGCTTTGTTGTTTGTACATTTACTGTGCTTAATTCAACTTTCATGCCCTTAATAATGCTTAACAAGTCTTTTTTTGTGTTTTCATTTTCACTGTCTTGGCTCTCTGAAGTCTCCTTGGGAGTCTCATCAGTTCCAACAGACTGGTCACCCTTCTTGCTACAGATCACGCTGCTAGTGCCAAAATATCTTTGGATATTATTTTTTGTCCTGGAAAGATGCATTAAAGAAAAAAAATGAAAAATCTAATGCAGGCTGAGAAAGTAAAAAAACTAGGTATCTTAATTTTTTTCAATTCAAGCCCTTTCCATTTGCTTTTTATAATTATTGTAATAACCGTAACAGCAGCAACTTACCATTTATTAGCATACACTACACGCCTCACCTTGTGCAATATACTTTACGTGCATTTCTCATACCCACATTAACTCCCTAAGGTCTCCATTCTGCAGATAAGGAAACTGAAAATCAGAGCAGTAACCAAAAGTCATGGAGCTCACAGCTCACTAAGAACTAAGACATACTGTGTGCCACAAATAAGTAGAGGTATGCTGAGATACTGGTCACCTGCTCTTTGGGGTGGCCAGGGCAGTTCTGGGGGTGCTAGTGCTCCCAAGTCTGTTCACTCCCTCCATTTATCCCAGGGTTCGGTAGAAAAGCACTCATATGGTTTATCAATGGCAATTTATCATTCTCAAACCTGAATCTGACTGACTGCAAGTCCTTGCTCTTAACATAATAATACCTTTTTAAAAAGATCTAATTAAACAATAAAAATAAATTTCCATAAATAAAGATTATTTCAAAAAAACCTTGCGTGGGTGTTATTCTAATCTGATCAACATTCTCATCAAGCTACATGGCATTTAACACATAACCATTTGTAAGGTAAGCTAAAATGGAACAGAAAAGAGAATAATCAATGGCTAGAAATGTCATTTTTGCTTTCTTAATTAGATAAATTTATGAAAAAGAACAACACAAATGATTACATCTATATTAGATTCATGCAAAAGATTTCCTAATTCTTTTTTACTTTTTATTTTATTTTTTAATAAAGACAGGGTTTCCAAGACAGAAAAAAAAAAAAACAAATAAATAAATAAATAGAGACGGGGTTTCATCGTGTTGGCCAGGCTGGTCTTAAACTCCTGACCTCGTGGACAACCCACCTTGGCCTTCCAAAGTGCTGGGATTACAAGTGAGAGCTACTGCGCCTGGCCAAGATTTCCTAATTCTAAGTAACCCAAATATCCAACTGTATTCTCTTTTGGTATTTGGTTACTGAAGACCTTTAAGAACTCTCCACGAATCAGTTTCAGTAAGAGGGTAAACTCAAAAATCATTTATTAAATATAGTGAATATCTACTCCGTGGTTGTACTATACAAGGTACTGACAATATATTAGTAAACAAGAATTTCATGGTCCCTGCCTTTATGAAGCTGATGTACTAAAGCATTGCTTCTCAAACTTTAATATGAATAGTTTTTCTTGTTTTTTGTTTTTTATTTTTGAGACAGGGTCTCACTCTGTCGAATAGGCTGGAAGTGCAGTGGCATGATCTCAACTCACTGCAGCCTCAACCTCCCTGGGCTCAGGTGATCCTCCCACCTCAGCCTCCCAAGTAACTGGGACTAATTTTTTTCATAGAGACAGGGTTTCGCCACGTTGTCCAGACTGGTCTCGAAGTCCTACGCTCAGCGATCCGCCTGCCTCCCAAAGTGCCGGGATTACAAGCGTAAGCCATCATATCTGGCCCATAGAAATTATCTAGCTCCTTGCTAAAACATAGATTATTTGGTCCCACCAAAGAATTCTGATTCCACAGCTTTGTCCAGGAGACACTTGAGAATTTGGATTTCTAATGAACTCCCAGGTGATGCTGATGCTGCTGGTCAGAGGACCACATTACAGTAGCTATGTATGTTACTTAATCTTTACAATCTTACAGAACAGGCTTTACTATTCTCACCTTACAGAACAAACTGTTGTCAACAGAAGTTAAGTTATTGGTTATAAATCTCTAGAGGTTATACAAATAACATAGGGAGCTGACTTGAATCATAGATTCCTGAAATTCTTAGTTTGGAAGTTTGGAATTTAACTGACATTCAGGTGATTCTCATGCAGGTGAGCTCAAGAGCCTGCATCAGACCCTAGGTTATCAAATTCGGCCAGGTGCAGTGGCTCACGCCTGTAATCTCAGCACTTTGAGAGGCAGAGGCAGGTGGATCACGAGGTCAGCAGTTTGAGACAAGCCTGTCCAATATGGTGAAAACCCCATCTCTACTAAAACTACAAAAATAAGGCGTGGTGTTGAGTGCCTATAGTACTAGATACTCAGGAGCCTGAGGCAGAAGAACCGCTTGAATCCAGGAGTTGGAGGCTGCAGTAAGCAGAGATCATGCCACTGCACTCCAGCCTGGATGACAGAGCGAGACTCCTTTCCCCATAAACCCCCACAAAAAATATTCTATCAAGTTCTCAAAGCCAGGAATTGGCAGCTGCAGGCTAAGGATACTTACATGAAAGAGAAAATGGCAATTTCAAAAAATATTGAAACAAACTATTTGATCTGCTTATAAAAACAATAGAGGCTATTAAATCAGTCACTTTAAAATTAGAATTAAAAAATTAAAATTTATTCTAATTTTAAAATTAGAATAAAAAACCAATTGCATACTAGTATCCTTATAACCAGTACGCAGGACTCTCATTACAGTATTCAATATATGGTACAATCTATTTAAGAAAATGGTCTATTTTACATTTAAAGTTAATATTCAAGGTATTTTAACAGAAAGGTGGTAATCAGGGGAATGAATCTCACATATAATCTTTACTACAATGTTTTCTTTCAAGACTGCTATCACACCATAGAAAGCAATCTACATTATAGGAAAATCATGTCTAAGAAACTCCCTAGCACTGAAAATCATAAAACTCTAGACCTAACCTCCCACCCTAGTTTGTTACCACTGACGGCACCTCATCAGTACGTCAAATGCAACACCTTCAAAGCCACATTCAAGACTCCTCTTTCAGACTGACCTTCCATTTTTCACACTTCTATATTAAAGGCCCCCTAACATAAGCAGAGTTTATTGACTGATTAAGAGACAGGGCTTCGCCATGTTGATCACGTTGGTCTTGAACTCCTGACCTCAGGTGATCCGCCCACCTCGGCCTCCCAAAGTGCTGGCATTACAGGCGTGAGCCACCGCACCTGGCCGATATTTCTTGTTTTCTAAAAATTGTAACATATGTAAAAACCTTTCTCAAGCCTGGCTCTGCATTCTTCTGTTCACATTAAGGATACCCTAATACTCCAATGCAGCCAGCTGAAAACTTTGCTACCTCTGACCAACCTACCATTATCCTATGATGTCACATCCCCTTCATTCTACCCGTGCAATTTTTCTCCTCCATTCAGCTGGTCCTTCCCATCTTCACTGTCACTAACCTGCTTCAGCCCCGTACTTAACCAAAGTGCCTTCTGAGTGTTATTCATGGAATTTATGCAGTGGAATTAAGGTTTCATAATAAAGTTCTCAGAGGATAAAAAACAAAAACTATGCCGCAATTCCCTTCTTTTTTCCTGGCTAACTTCAACCAGTGGTCCTCCTTCAGATTTCATCAGACTCTTACAGAAACGATATCCTGAGTCTCCCTGCAATGGTTAGATGTCCCTGTTTGTTCCCTCAGCAATCATTTATGTTGGATAAACAGTATACTCCGTGCTTACCTACACTATCTCAGCTATTACTTCAGTACACAGCACCTGAATTGCCAACTTGCTGGAACTACACGCTCCGTGATGACAGGACTGTCTTCCTTGGGGTTTACAACCAATACTGGCACGCTGTCAAGTTTTTCAATGATTAACCAAATTAGAAACGAAGGAAACAGAAACGAGACTCTCCAACAATCTTGGGAGGCAAAAGATAAAAAACAACTTCGCTTTTGGAGCTTGGATAAACTGACAGGAGACGATGACAAGAGGAATGAGGCGCGGCATGCATTAGAAATAACACAGCGACCAGGCTTTTAAGCATAGCTCTGTTTTCCACGCACACTATGACCTTGGGCAAGTTATCCTTTCCTTCTGGGATTTCTCTTTCCTCAGATTTAAAGCAATAGTTTCTAAGGACCCAGCAGGTAATAACATGGACCCCAGGAAGTCGGAGGATAACTGAAGGTACAGGACGGGACACAGGGTTGCCAGAGGTCCTGCAGGGCCAAGAGCGCTGCACTGCGGTACCTGACGGTTCCGTGCCGAGCAGCGAGTAGCACAATCGCAGCTGCTGATGTCTCCGGGCTTCCGGAGGACAAAGGGTGGCGGGAAACGGGGCGAAGAGGCAGGAACGTCGCGACTCTAGGAAACATCGCCGAGACACAAACAGAACCCAGAAGGCAACTGAAACGGCGCGTCCCTCTGCCAAACACGTCCTCCGCCCTCTCTTCCGTTTCCGGCCTGACGACTTCCTCTTCCTTTGCGTTCCGGTGGGCATCAGGGGCAGGTGACTGTGTTCCGAACTCTCCAGCGGCCGGGCGGAGCCAGCTGCCTCCACGGGACCCCACCCACCCCGCGATTCTAGTTCTAGAGGCGGAGTCTTCGCCAGAGTTCAGCCAGGGTTCGCTGGCCGAGGCGGGTCCCAGACCCCCGAACTGGTTAGTGGAGGGCGTAATCCGTTGTGCGAAATACCGATAGGGCCATTGAAATCAGTCTCTTGCTTGACACTGTTTTGCGTTGTTTGGAGGGCAAAGGTCTACGGCGTTCATCACGTTCTCAAAACGCGCCATGGCCACCAAAATGGTTGTAAAAAAATTGCTAAAAGATCTGCTGCCTATGAATTAGCGTTTCCTTTCAGTCTTTATTCTTGTCGAGTCAAAATGAGACATAGGGTTTCATTTCTTGAAAACGGCTTTATGGCCGGGCACGGTGGCTCACTCCTGTAATCCCAGCACCTTGGGAGGCAGAGGCCTGGGTATCACTTGAAGTCAGGAGTTCGAGACCAGCCTGGCAACGTGGTGAAACACTTTCTCTACTTAAAAAAAATAATAATTAAGAAAATTAGCCAGGCGCGGTAGCAGGCGCCTGTAATCGCAGCTACTCTGGAGGCTGAGGCAGGATAATCGTTTGAACTCGAAGGCGAGGGCTGTAGTGAGCTGAGATCATGCCTTTGCACTCCAGGTCTGGGCTACAGAGCGAGACTCTTGTCTCAAACAAAAAAAGGATTTAGGCCAGGGGCGTGGTGGCTCACGCCTGTAATCCCAGCACTTTGGGAAGCCGAGGTGGGGGATCACTTGAGGTCAGGGGTTCGAGACCAGCCTGTCAACATGGTCAAACCCCGACTCTACTAAAAATGCAAAAATTAGCCGGGCGTGGTGGTGTGCACCTATAATCCCAGTTACTCGGGAGGTTGAGACAGGAGAATCGCTTGAACCCGGGAGGCAGAGGATGCAGTGAGCCGAGGTAGTGCCACTGCACTCCAGCCCGGGCAACAGAGTAAGACCCGGTCTCAAAAATAAAAAGATGCAAGAGAGAAACTTGGCTTTTACCTGTCCCTCATGAAATGGGGAACCGTGGCCCCAGAAAACATCCGGGGTTCCCAAACTTGGAAGGGCATGAGAATAAATCTGGTGGGAAATGTTGGCTCATAGGACACCTGGGAACCACTAGCCTAAATTTCCGTAAAGGCATTCCAAAGTTTATATCAACATTTTCCCTGTACACTCAAAAAATAATCACGATGGGGCGGTGAGCTTCGGTGATGCTAAAACACAGTTTACAGTGAGCAATCTTCCTGAGATCCACTCACGCTGACAGACCTTTGTGACTGAATTGAAGCATAACTTTGTCAGAAGACAAAATTATGGCAAATTTAGTTAATTGGCTTTTATTTGTGATTCTAGAACAGGGCAGCCTCTCATTCTATAAACTAGAATGAGGGTTCCAGTGAGCTGAGCAGAGGGGTTTGCCTTTTGAAGAAAATAGAAACAGGGAACACAAATCAGATTGGTCATTTCAAAGTTACCTTCCTTATAGGGTTAAAACAGAGGGAATTTCCTGGTCATGCTGGCTCAGGTAAACTAGGCCCCCTCTGACTGGTGCTGTGAATCTCCTGCTTTTGGAAAACTGGCCTGGATTTCAACGTTCAGTTTGAGTACTTGGAACTTAGCACAAGTGACTATTCTGGTTTGGTCTGGTGTGCTGGGGGCTAGTACAGGAAGCCCCAAAGGCTGTCGTCCAAATCTACAGCCTTCTATCAACTTTAGCAATTTCAATACAGAAGAGTACATGAATTCTAAATATGTTGATGAAAATGTACTTTTGCTATTGTTGACATGGGGTCTTGCTCTGTCACCCAGGCTGTAGTGCAATGGTGCAATCTCAGCTCACTGCAACCTCTGCCCCTGGGTTAAAGCCATCCTCTGGCCCTAACCTCTCAAGTAGCTGGGACTACAGGCATGTGCTACCACCCCTGGCTAATTTTTGCATTTTTAGTAGAGATGAGGTTTCACCATGTTGGCCAGGCTTGTCTGGACCTCCTTACCTCGGGTGATCCACTCACCTCGGCCTCCCAAAGTGCTGGGATTACAGACCTGAGCTGCCGTGCCTAACCGAAAATGTGTTTAAGGAATGATCACAAAGTTAATTCCCCCATATAAACCTCCACCTGGATCAAGATATACAATATTAGCAGTAGGGCATACTTTTCTTGATATTACTTGATACCCAGTGGAAAATCCATTCTTAAGCATAATAAACAGTCCATCTGGATCACATTTAATAGTTACTTCATCTTTTTTCAGTTTCTTATAATATTCTTCAAGTGGGTTTTTTAAAACCCTAAAAACTCTTGACAAAGGAGAGGCAGACTTCCCCCTCAATTTCACAGTTTCTCTGGGGGAAGATCTTGTCCCAGTTACCCTGTTCTTAATCTACTCTAAGGTAGTGCAGACACAGTAAATTACCTCCCTCCTGCATGAGGCAGATAGGCTTTGACTATGTGAAAGTGCCTGGCTGAGGGTCACACGTGGGAATTGAACTTTCGCCTACTCTACCATTTGGCTCCTTCGACTCTCACTTTCTTGTAAAAGAGGCTTTCTTTGACTACCGTGCTTCATGGAGTTTCCGCCCCATCCAGTTGCACTCTGGCAGGGATTGCTGTTGTCCACATTCTCTTCTGGAATTTTAGCTGAACACATGACCACAGAGGTAGAGACTACACTGCCCAGCTTCCCTTGCAGATAGATATGTCATGGACTGGAAGTTCTAATCAATAGAATGTGAACAGAAGTGATGTGTCCTTAAAAAAAAAAATGGGCACATAGTCCCTGCAATCTTTTTCTCCTTTCTCCTAGTTGCAATACAGACCAGACGATAGGAGTTGAAGCAACTAGACAACAGCAAGATGAAAGGTCGCAGAGATGAGGGTGACAAAAGCATTCTGCACACCACTTCCTTCAGACAGTTACCGAGGAAAGAGGAGGAACCCACTTCCATCTTGTTTAAAAGGGTTTTCCGGTCTCATTGCTGCAAGTAGCCTAAGCTGTAGGCTAACTAAGGTACTCTCAATGTGAAAACATGGTTTCATTTTCTACAGAGTATTTATGATGATCCGAAATCATCGCATATGTTTATGTGCTAAAATGCTTGTCCACCTTGCTGTGATGGAATATGTGCTCCATGAAGGCATAGACTTTGTCTTATCACCTGTTGCAATCTTAGTTCTTAGAACTGTACCTGGAAATAAAAATAGGTACTTAAAAATATTTGGTGAGTAAATTAAGTGTTTCCAAGTAAAAAGGAAGAGACAGGTGCAGAGGGATCTTTAGTAATTTGCCCAACTTCATACACATTCTAACTCAGGACCATCTGACTCTAATATTCTCGTTCATTCTGGACTAGCTGAGGGTCTCTTACGTTAGTCATGTGTGAAAGTCACATGGGTGTTTCTTAACACGCAGTCCTGAGTAGTAGCTCAGAAACACTGACTCAGTAGATCTCAATCTGAGAATCTAACAAGCACCCTGGGTGATTCTGCAGGCGTTCCTCTGACGGAGCTTTGAGAAACATTGCCAAGGCCCTGTGGCTTATTTAGCTATTCAAAACTCTGCAAGTCCTTAGAATATACATGAAGAAGTTGATAGAACTGGTACAGGACTAAAGGTAAACATCTGAAACAACATGGATGGATCTCAAAGGCATTAAGCGAAGTGAAAGAAGCCAGACACAAGATGACCAATCGTGTATGATTCCATTTACACGATATCGGTGGACAAAGCTACAGGGACACAAATCTGATCACTGGTTACCAGGAAAAAGAGATGGAAGGAAGGAATTAATGACAGAGGGGCAGGAGGACACTTTTGGGGGTTATTAAAACACTCTATTAAGAGATTACAAAGACTCTGGTGGGCTTATATCACCTTTCACATTTGTCAAAACTCATAAATCTGTACACCTATAAAGTGTGAATTTTACTCTATATAAATTATACCTCAATAAACCTGACTTTTAGGCTGAATGTGGTGGCTCATGCCTGTAATCCCAGTACTTTGCGAGGCCAAGGCAGGAATATCACTTGAACCCAGGAGTTCAAGACCAGCCTGGGCAAGGTAGGGAGGCCCTGTCACTACAAAAAAATTAAAAAACGAGCTGGGCGTGGTGCACCTGTGGTCCCAGCTACTTGGGAGGCTGAGGAGGGAGGATTGCTTGAGCACAGAGGGTGGAGGCTACAGTGAGCAGTGATTGAGCCACTGCACTCCGGCCTAGATGACAGGGTGAAACCCTATCTCTAAATAAACAAATAAATTTGACTTTAATACAAAAGAGAATTAATAGGATAGTTCTAGTTGGCCATAAATTAAACCATAAAGAGAATTTCAATAAATTCCCCCCAAATTTCAAGTCTGTCCTTTGAAAAACTAATATGACTTGGGTAATTTTTTTTTCTAGAGCAATCATTTATAAGAACGACAAAAATAGCCGGGCGCGGTGGCTCATGCCTGTAATCCCAGCACTTTGGGAGGCTGAGGCGGGTGGACCACGAGGTCAAGAGATCGAGACCATCCTGGTCAACAAGGTGAAACCCCGTCTCTACTAAAAATACAAAAAATTAGCTGGGCATGGTGGCGCGTGCCTCTAATCCCAGCTACTCGGGAGGCTGAGGCGGGAGAATTGCCTGAACCCAGGAGGCGGAGGTTGCGGTGAGCCGAGATCACGCCATGGCACTCCAGCCTGGGTAACAAGAGCGAAACTCCGTCTCAAAAAAAAAAAAAAAATGAGAAAAATAAAGGTGGAAAGTAGAAACTGTTTTCCTCCTCTAACTTTCCATTATGGTATTTGTTTCCCAGTCATTTTCTTCCCATGCACCCATGGAAATGCACTTTTTAGAAACAAGGCACCTTTGGCAAGAAATAGAAAATCAACTGAAATTGCTCCTGGTATAGACCGGTGACTTTGTCCTGCCTATCTCAACATTCGATACGAATCGAACAAGCCTTACAAGAAAATGAAGAAACAAAATCACGCCATATTCCAGTTATCCTTCGCTGCACGACATTAGTATCTTAAAGCAACAGGTTATTATCTGTCCTGGTTCTGTGGTGAATGGAGCTCAGCTGGGGGCAGTCCCTACTTTGATCTCTCATGTGGTTGCCATCAGATAAGACTGAATGTCCAGGATGATTTCTTCACCCACACATCTGATGCCTCAGCTGGAATGGCTGGAAGAAACGGGCTGACTGGGCCTCTCTCCACACCTTCACCCCATGACCTTAGTACCTGGCTAGGTTGGGCTTCCTTACAGCATGGCAGCTCAGCATATTTGGACTTCTTACGGAGCAGCTGGCTCGCCTTAGAGTGAGCATTCACATCAGGCTAAAGCTGCACAGCATCGAAAGTCACAGAGCATCACTTTCATCGCATTGTATTGGTGCAAAGTGACTAACAGGGCCAGTCCAGATTCAGAGGGAAGGAGCTACACTTCCCTTTGGGTACCAGCAGCAGTGGCTCACTGGGGGACCACTTTCAGAGACTTACTACCATATCCTAGGAAATTTAATTCATTCCATTGATTTCATCAGTGTATTCTTTTTTCAAACATCTGTGTTTAAATTTTTTTGTGGGTATATAGTAGGTGTATGTATTCATGGAGTACATGAGATGTTTTGAATAGGTATGCAATGCATATTAATCACATCGTGGAGAATGGAGTACTCAAGCATTTGTCCTTTGAATTATAAACAATCCAATTACATTCTTTAAGGTATTTTAAAATATGCAATTAAGTTATTGACTATACACACTTCATCGTGCTGTTAAATAGTAGGCCTTATTCATTCTTTCTATTTTTTGCACCCACTAACCACCCCCCTCCTCCCTCCAACTCTCCACTACCCTTCTCAGCCTCTGGTAACCATCCTTTTACTCTCTATGACCATGAGTTCAATTGTTTTGATTTTTAGATCCAAAAGACAGGTCATAACAGACATGGGTGAGGAGGTAGAGAAAGTGTGAACCTGAGATGCTTGTTCTGAGCTTATTTCATTCAGCATAATGACCTCCAGTTCCATCATATTGTTGCACAGGACTGGAACTCATTCTTTTTTATGGCTGAATAATACTCCATTGTGTATATATACCACATTTTATTTATCCATTCATTTGTTGATGGGCACTTAGGTTGTTTCCAAATCTTAGCTATTGTTAAACACAGGAGTGTAGCTGTCTCTCCTATATTCTGATTTCCTGTCTTTTGGGTATATACCCAGCGGTGGGATTGTTGGACGATATGGTAGCTCAATTTTTACTTTTTTGAGGAACCTCCAAACTGTTCTCAGCAGTGGCTGTTCTAATGTACATTCCCTCCAACTGTGTACAAGGATTCCCTTTTCTCCACATCTTCACCCGCATCTGTTACTACCTGTCTTCCAGAAATAAGCCATTTTAACTGGGTGAAATGATATCACATTGCGTTTTGATTTCTGCGTATCTAATGATCTATGATGTCGAGCACCTTTTCATAGGTCTGTTTGCCATTTGTTTGTTTTCTTTTGAGAAATGCCTATTCAAATCTTTTGCTAATTTTTTGATCAGATTATTAGATTTTTTTCCTGTAGAGTTGTTGGAGCTCCTTATGTGTTCTGGTTATTAAACCCTTGTCAGATGGGTAGTTTGCAAATCTTTCCTTCCATTCTGTGGGCTGTCTCTTCACTTTGTCGATTGTATCTTTGGCTGTGTGGAAGCTTTTTAACTTGATGTGATCCCATTTGCCCATTCTTGCGTTGGTTGCCTGTGCTTGTGGAGCATTGCTCAAGAAATTTTGCCCAAACCAATGTCTTGGAGATTGTTCTCTATGTTTTCTTGTAGTTTTATAGTTTGAGGTCTTAAGTCTTTCATCCATTTTGATTTTTTTTGAGACAGAGTTTCGCTCTTGTTACCCAGGCTGGAGTGCAATGGCGCGATCTCGGCTCACTGCAACCTCCGCCTCCTGGGTTGAGGCAATTCTCCTGCCTCAGCCTCCTGAGTAGCCGGGATTACAGGCACATGCCACCATGCCCAGCTAATTTTTTGTATTTTTAGTAGAGACGGGGTTTCACCATGTTGACCAGCATGGTCTCGATCTCTTGACCTCGTGATCCACCCGCCTCGGCCTCCCAAAGTGCTGGGATTTGATTTGATTTTTGTATATGGGGAGAGACAGTGGTCTAGTTTTATCCATTTGCATATGGATATCCAGTTTTCTCAGCATCATTTATTGAAGAGACTGTCTTTTCCTCAATGTATGTCTTGGCACCTTGGTTGAAAGTGAGTTCACTGTGGTGTGTGGATTTGTTTCTGTGTTCTCTACTCTGTTTCATTGGTCTATGTGTTTGTACGCCAGTACCATGCTGTTTTGGATACTATCACTCTATAATTTGATTATACTAGAGATTGGAGGAATCACGTTATAGTATTATAATTTGTTCTAATTTTGTTCTTTTTGCTTAGGATCACTTTGGCTACTCTGAGTCTTCCATGGTTCCATGTAAATTTTAGAATTGTTTTTTCTATTTCTGTGAAGGATGTCATTGGTATTTTGATAGGGATTGGATTAAATCTGTAGATTGCTTTGGCTAGAATAGATATTTGAAAAATATTCATTCTTCCAATCCATGACTATGGAATATCGTTCCATTTTTTGGTGTTCTCTTCAATTTCCTTCATCGATGTTTTATGACTTTCATTATAGAGAACTTTCACATTTTTTATTAATTCCTAGGCATTTAGTTTGATGTGTGGCTATAGTAAATGGGATTACTTTTTAAATTTCTTTTTCGCATTCTTCACTGTTGACATATAGAAATGCTACTGACTTTTTTTTTTTGAGACGGAGTTTCACTCTTGATACCCAGGCTGGAATGCAATGGCGCAATCTCAGCTCACCGCAACCTCCACCTCCTGGGTTCAGGCAATTCTCCTGCCTCAGCCTCCTGAGTAGCTGGGATTACAGGCACGCACCACCATGCCCAACTAATTTTTTGTATCTTTAGTAGAGACGGGGTTTCACCATGTTGACCAGGATGGTCTCGATCTCTTGACCTCGTGATCCACCCGCCTCGGCCTCCCAAAGTGCTGGGATTACAGGCATGAGCCACCACACCCACTGCTACTGACTTTTTGTATGTTAATTTTGAATCCTGCAACTTTATTTATCAGTCCTAATAGTTTTCTTGTGGATTCTTTAGGTTTTTCCTCATCAGTCTGAACTGATGGCTTCTTTTTTTGGTTTAATTTCCAACCATCTTGATGATCTTTCAACAACTTCAGATTTTGCTTCATATTCAATTTTGTAAAGAACTGCCACACAGATTTAATTTTATCATCATAACAATCAAGGGAGGCAGGACAATATATATATATATTTTTTGAGACAGAGTCTCACTCTGTCACCCAGGCTAGAGTGCAGTGGTGCCATCTCAGCTCACTGCGACCTCCACCTCCCAGGTTCAAGTGATTCTTGTGCCTCAGCCTCCTAAGTAGTTGGGATTACAGGCATGTGCCACCACATCTGGCTAACTTTTTTATTTTTAGTAGAAGCAGGTTTCACCATGTTGGCCAGGCTGGTCTCAAACTCCTGATCTCAAGTGATCTGCCCACCTCGGCCTCCCAAAGTGCTGGGATTACAGGCGTGAGTCACTGTGCCCGGCCTCCTTTACCTCTTTAGTCCATGAAGACAGTTCTCAGGTAAAGAGGTGAAACAGGGGCCTGGTACAATTTGTGGACTAAGCTATTTAAAGGGTGCCACGTGTTATAGACTGCTGACAAAATGCTCATCGTTAGAAAAAGAAAATTCTAATATGTGTTTTTAAATGACTTGAAATTTTCTCCCATGAAAGCAAAAGCAAGAGAATGAAGCCATCACACCAAGCCTCCACTGCTCAGGTGTTGAGTAGACGCAGCGGAATACTGCCATGCTGCAGGATGGCACAGTCAGGCAGCCAGGCTCCGCCCCTCTCTGTGGACTCTAGGCAAGTTTTCGCACCCTCTCTGTGTCTCAGCTGCCCTATCTGTGGAAAAGGGAATAATGTTAGCACCTACCTTGAAGGGTTGTCTAAGGATTAAATGAGTTAAAATATGGAACCGTGCTTATACCAGTGTCTAGCACACAGCATGCCCTGCGTAAGTGTTTGCAGCTGTCACAGTCAAAATGGAAACATGGAACGGAAATATCCTTCGAAAGTCTGGGCGCAGTGGCTCACACCTGTAATCCCAGCACTTTGAGAGGCGGAGACAGGTGGATCACCTGAGGTCAGGTGTTCAAGATCAGCCTGACCAACATGGAGAAACCCTGTCTCTACTAAAAGTACGAAATCTAACCGGGCGTGCTGGCACATCCCTGTGTCCCAGCTACTCCGGAGGCTAAGGCAGAAGAACTGCTTGAACCTGGGAGGCAGAGGCTGCAGTGAGCTGAGATCGCACCACTGCACTCCAACTCAGGCAACAGAGCGAGACTCCATCTCAAAAAAAAAAAGTCTATTTAAAATCAAGGAAGCTATACAAAAAAACCAATTTTGCATGAGGTTGTTAAATTATCTAGAAGGTTAATAAACACGGTACTTTATAAGGATATCTTCTGATTTTGAATGTAGTCACTCCTAGAGAACACCAAAGCCAATTTTTTTTCTTTTGAGATGGAGTTTTTTGCTCTGTCACCCAGGCTAGAGTGCAGTGGCGTGATCTCAGCTCACTGTAACCTCCGCCTCCTGAGTTCCTGCCTCAGCCCCACGAGCAGCTGAGACTGCAGGCACCCACCACCACACTCGGCTGATTTTTGTATTTTTAGTAGAATTGGGGTTTCACCATATTGGCCAGGCTGGCCTCGAACAGCTGACCTTGTGATCCGTCTGCCTTGGCCTCCCAAAGTGCTGGGATTACAGGCATGAGCCACTGCGCCTGGCTGCAATTGCTACCTCTGGACATAAGCGTGAACTCCCATTAGTCAACCTTATGAAACAGTCCAGGAGAATGGATTGTGGTGAAGAATGTTAATATATTGCTACATGCAGGTGCTGAAGAAAATGAAATAATGTTAAGAAATGAAAATATTGTTTCCGGCTCTTAATAATTCATGGCGCTGCAGAATCTTGAATCTATTATTAAAAGGCATAAATCTAAGTGAAAATAGTGTTTCTCTTGCATTCAATTGTATTATAAAGCAGTAAGTTTACTTAGCACTGGATGTTATGAAGAGTTTTTCTGTATTCCAAAGTATAACATACCTTTGGATGAGGCCAGCCTGAGAGCTTAGGATCAGGTCTATCCTGAGACAGATAGGCATTCTCAGTTTTCTGCAGTGGGATGAGCAGATAGGAAGGACCAGTGCCAAGAATCTGATTTGCCCTGGGGGTTGCATGAGTGCGGAAGTCCCGCCAGGAAGGGGTCGGTCTGGCTGCCCAAATGAAATATTTGAAGCCCTTGCTGACCAGTATCTAGAGTCCAGTACAGCAGTTGCATTTACTGCCATGTAAGCCAACAATGCTTACTCACGTTTTATGAATACTACCCTGATTCCAAAAGACTCTGAATAAATGATCACTTGGAAGTTGATGGCTAATGAGTTAGAGGTGGAAGTCAGTGACTAGTGGTTCGTAAAGCTGAGAAACCGTATGATGCCTGGTGTTCATAATAGTGTAGAAAGACTGAAAGCAGGCTGACCCTTATGAAGCTACAAAATCACAGCGAAGACATCAAAGTAGCAGGTTAGTTCACGGTGCAAGCAATTTCACTTCATAGCAATGAGCTTCTTTCCCATAATATTGAACGTTTCCCAGATTCGTTTCTAACGTTATTAATTACCACACTAATTCTTAGAAACGCTTCAGGTCTGGTAAATGAATAAATAATACATCTGGAAAGATTCAGAAAGATTTAGAATAGTCTATCAATCTGCATGAAAATAATCACTGGTTCCTGCTAGTGGATCACAAAAAGGGGAAACAGTGAAGCCACTTCTCCCAAGTGGCGGGAGGCAGAACAGGAATGCCGCAGCACAGGTGAGGTTTACAGGCTCTGTAGCCACTTTGCTTGTACAGTAAAATGTATCACATTCTGCTGTTTGTTTAATGCCATTTTCCGTCATACTCACTTTGTCTATGCATTTCGCTGGCAACCAGATGCAATGTATTTTAATTGCTTTTTAGTCACTAGAATTACCCATATATGTAACTTCATTTCCCAACAAATATGTCTATAAATCTGTGTATTTTATGTCCAAAGTAATCCTTTTCCCTAAAATCAACTCTGAATTAACTTTCAATGTCTCTGTGTAAAAAAGTAGGTAAGACTTTCTCCAATAAAATGAGGAGGCAGCATAAACACCCACAATATGGTAATGAGAATAATAACAGCACTAACTGCCTTCATTACATACTAAATAATTTACATTCTTATCTCATTTAATTTTCTCAATGAGGATTAACCAATAAGAGCAGTCAAGTGTCACAGCAGACGTATGAAACCCTATACCAAGGAGTTCAGGGATGGTTAATATTTGAAAATCCAACTAGCCAGGTCAATGGCTCCAGTCTTCTGAGGTTTGCTCTTTGTGAAAAAAGCCTGCAGAATAAACCCAGTTGTCCAGCCGTTTCAGTTACCTGCTTCAATTTACTTGTGGCTCCACTAGCAAAAGTA